CCACCTGGTGTTCTTTAACGTGCACCCAAATCTGAGCACACGGGCCTACAACAATTCCGCCTCCATCGGAAATGCAGCCGCCGCCGCCGGGATTTGAACCCGTGCCCTGCGGGTCAGCAGCCGAGTACCTTAGCCACTAGACCACCGCGGTGGGGCAAGACGAAAGCCATACATGTCTCATAAACACGAAAGTTGAGCCTCCTACTTTTCTGAAGCAAAGTTGCACCGACGGTAAAACTTGAAAGGTTCTTGATTTTCGGGAAACCGCACCTTCACACCAACGAAAGGGAAGAGCCCATGCACGTTCGCCTGCAGACGGCTCTCTTCGCACTACCCAGTTATGGTCATTGCGGCGATGAGGGCGCTGGTGTTGGCGTTTTTCGCAGCACCGCCTGGGCAGAGGGTGACGTCTATGAAAGCAAGTCACCTCTGCCGAGGTGTTGCTTTACGTCTTAAACATCTCTTGTTGGACCACTGATTTTTTTGCGAATCTCCACTTCCTTTGAACCATTACCATGTTGGCATGTCTTAAAATCAGAAACATGAGCTCTTTTCTGTCTCTCTTTCTTTTTTCACATTCTGTCTCTCTTTCTTTTTTCACAGTCACAGGTTTTGTATTTGCCTTCCGTTGTTCGCGGCTCGGCTTAGCTTCGACAAGATTTGTGCAAAAACATTTGCTTTTCGCAATTCGTGGCTCCTGCTTCTTCGGCACGAGGCGTTGACGGCCTGATACTGCAGTCAGCGCAGGATTCGGCGATACGGCGAAGGAGCTCTCGAACGCGGAAACCCTGGCGCTTCTATCGGAACGAGTGGCTCTGCTATAGGTTGGCCCTTGTCGCCAATCGTCGTGGACGCAGAAGAGGCGAATCGCACACGCGCTGAGCCTTGCCCGCTATCGATCCCTGCTTGCGAGGCCGTTATCGGCACTGTCCTCGGGTCAAGCATCGCGGTCGCCGTTTAGCCGGACGGCACGTCCATCCGTTCGGCACGACGCAAGACCCGTGTCGAGAGGCCTTCAAGAGCCGTTGCACACCGAGACGGGGGGCTTGCAAATGGCGCAGAAAACTTCGTTAAATATAAGAGTGCAACACGCCTTGTTAGGCATTGCGTGATTTAAACGTTTCGGTAAAGTACATTGGTGTGGTTCATTACCTGTAACATTGTCACCTTAGGTTCATTCTCCTTGTGTAAGCTTTTAGTCTATGGTTCGATATGAGAGAAGCACTTTAGTGACTATATAACTGCGCTATATATTTATGGTGCTAATAAAATAAATCGACATAATTTTTTGGTAAAACGACCACCACAAGCAATTGATCGTGATAATCATATTATATCGCTCCAAGTTTGACTACTAAAAATAAGGTTGCCTCTGGTGTAAGTGTTCGAGTCGAAATCACGCCGATGTGACATGAACTGTAGTTGCTGGAAACGAAATTATATGCATGCATGGCTCTAAATTTTAGCGTGAGATCTATATGCAGGAACATATGTAAAACATGCATGTACTATGCACGTATGTACACGTGCAAATATGTATGTATGTATGTATGTATGTATGTATGTATGTATGTATGTATGTATGTATGTATGTATGTATGTATGTATGTATGTATGTATGTATGTATGTATGTATGTATGTATGTGTGTGTTAAACGAGCCGCTTCATAGGATCGGATTATCACCATACGATTTTCTTGTCCCCAGCTGACTGGTATGTGCTTCACAGAGGCCTTGCGGTCCACTTTCGCGTTTCAGTGATATTACTATCACACACATAATGACTGTAATTAACATCACTGCACATGTCACCGATGCGCATAGCGCACTGGTGGCGCAATCAAAAAATTAAATTTGCCTGTTTTTTGTTTTGTTTTTTTTTGCAATACCAGACTGGCAGAATTCGAGACAGCATAATCGCAACTAGTTTCAGTTGCTTCAGGCGTAAGCTGTGACTGCCTCGAGTACTCTGATATATTAAGACGAAAGCCTTATATGTCTCATAAAGACGAAAATTGAATGTCAGTGGTGGCGTCAACACGAGCGGCACAAAAAAAGAAAAATGAGTAGCATCTGATGGCGTCACCACAATACGCCATGACGTCACATGCCACAAAAACATCATGAGGTCACTATGACATCACATATCAAGACGTAACATGATGACGCCTTCACATGCCATCGCCGTATGCTCAAAGGCGATCAGATCTCCGAGGCACTGTAAACAACCCTTGAGGTGCAGAAACAAGCTTGCGATGCCTGTACGATCACGGAGGCAGTGCAAAACCACCTAAGGTGCAGAAAGCCTTCGGGGGGTCATTCCAATCAAGTGGGAAGACGAAAGCTTTAGCCGTCGGGTCGTCTTAAGCGAACGCATACGGGACCGTTGAAATTTTTGTACGATGCTGAGACGAAAGTCCTTATACTTGAACACTTGAGCATGTTTTATGCCGTAGTTAAGGTACAGTGATCTCTTGCTAAACTTCCATGTGCTTCTCGGATGCTCTGCTTGGGGATATGAAGACTGAGTTTTTAAGTTTTTGCTTTATATACTTAAAGCGATTCCTTCAGGTAAACAATCTTATTTTTAGGGTGGGCTGGTGAGCTACCGAAGCGAATATACGTTGAGCTAGTCGGCTAGCTTCGGTGCGGCTGCACCGTAACCAGTGGTGATGAGTGGTATTACGTAAACAAGGATCACAGACATTCATAACTATCCAATACAGCTCGTTTTGGTCATCCGCTTTTTTATTCATCCAATTAGACAGCAGACACCGCGCACTGTGGATGGTCGTGTTCGAATTACCCGGGTAAAAGAGACGTTCTTCTCGAAAACCTGCAGAGAATGAGCTTTAAGCAAGCGGGTCTGCAAGGTCTATTTTGAGAATAGCCCATTACAGTGTGCAAGAAAGCTTCAAGCGTCACTGAATTCCTACAGCGGCGCTGATTGCTGTGCCTGTGGGAACGTACCCCGGTAAAGTTCCAGGGATGCCCGCACCCTTATTCGGATAAGAGAAAAGTTAGAAAAAAAAACTGTGTATTCAAGGACAATGGCGTAAATTTTAGAGCGATAATATATAGGAGGGAAATAAGGCGCTATAGCGTCAGGTGACGTACATAGGACTAAAAAGTATCTCGAGCGAGATAGGCTGTATCTTTAAGAGTGGCTACTTACTAAATGTGTGAAAATAGGAGAAAAAAATGGCGAATACAATTCTATTTAGAAGGTTCAATGATGGTTCCATATATATATATATTTATTCAGGAGTCTAATTGTGTACATATTTGAGAGTTATAGCATGCTCTTTTTCACTATACGTGAGATATTCAGCAACGCATGCCGTGCGTTTTCTTCCCTTCTTTAGGCACTTGAAGTACTCTTATTTGCTGCTATGCGGAAGTATGTGTCTTGAACATCGCAGGAAGAAAATTTGTAATTGCCCACTTTGTATTACCTTTATCTCAATGGCTGTCACATATGTCGAAAGGTGTGCGATGTAGCTTTTACTGATTACGAACAGTTATATCGATCTTGCAGACTTAATCAGTGAAAGACGTACAATTGGAAGCGGTGTATGAGCTAAAGCGGAAACTAATAATAATAATAATAATAATAATAATAATAATAATAATAATAATAATAATAATAATAATAATAATAATAATAATAATAATAATAATAATGGAAGGCTTTTGAGTGCACATGAGACCTAGTCGATGGATACTGTTGCCCGAGGTGGAGTTCACTTCCTTTCTCACCCACATTGTTTTTTTTTTCTTTTATCTCTGGTCAGCGCTTTGCCAGGCGCAACGCATCAGTACAATTCATCGCATCGCATGCTATCACATATCAGTGCGCCGAGCACTTTTACGCTGTTAGTCTGCACCTCGCTCGAAGAAAATTGAGTCCTGGGCGACGGCCTTGCTCGAGATTAAAAGGCTCGTCATACTTTAGCAAGAGTACTTATAGTATGATAGATGAGATGATGTTCTTCAACCTTGAACGTGGACTATCCTTCGTTGAGTGTGTGCCTGTTGCTCAGTGTGCACTGAAGGTACTGTTTGTCCCCGTTTGTATCTTATCTGTTAGCGACCTCCAGCAATTTCTTGCAGTACGAGGTGCGGTGACTTGCGAAAAACTCGGCGTAACTGCAGCCTTGTTTTCCTTTTTCCTTTCCACAATCCTCCTTACGAACCCAAGCACCGATTGTCGCCGTGGCATGACATCACTATTAGGAAAACACCATTTCATCTACCGTTCCATTAAACACAGAGTACTTGTTTTCATAAACGAGTGAGCAATTCATAGAAGGATAACCAATAACTTTGGTAGCTTAGCCGCAGGCTTCTTACAAGGCTACAATTCTGCTAACCGTAGCACCTGCTAAATACGCTTGGCTTGTTTCAGGAGAGCGGATAGCGAAAAAAAAATAAACTTTCATGCTCATTCGACGTACTTGTTTGCGTGCAGACTAACGCACACGATCACCCTGTGAACAATGAATGTGTGTCGAAAAAGAACAATGAGGTATAACACGAACGGCTGAAGCTGGCTCACTGCATGCACGTGAGCATTGTTAGAAAGGTGCGTTTACAGGAACAGTTCGGCAGCGAAATGCGCCGCAGCTGCCTGTGCTTGCGGGCTTGAGTGCGCTTGTGCAAACGCAGAGGTTCCGCTTGTTTCACCAATGCCTTTTTTATTCTTTTGTTCTTGTTTCACTCTACCGAGGTTTTGTAAATTAACTTCAAAGCAAGATAAATTTCGTTGGCCGCAAAAAAAAAAAACAATAGAAAAAAGTGTGGTGCCTCGACTCGAAAGCATGCCCGCGGAGCTGTCTTGGCCGTCGGGAATCTTGGCTTGGCCTCAACTTCCCAGCTAGAGCAAGCGAGCTGCTGTCACTTTGCGAGAGAGCAACGAGCATGTGGCAACCCACCTACGGCCGCTGTTGGTGGAGGCCGTTTGCATGAGCAAGCCGCCGCTCGACGCGTATAGGGCTTACCTCGATGAAGATAAGCACGTTCCGTTGCCTCCAGAACTGCGACGCGCAGTGCTGGAGCACTTCCGGTGTTGTCCAGCAGCGGAGGGCTCCGGAAAAAAAAAAACTTTGCTGTCAGCCGGCTATGGTGGCGATCGCGGAAGAAAAAAAAAGAAATCCGGCTGAGGCCTGTGCAGGTGATGACAGTCAAATGCCGCTGGGGCTTCGTGAAGATGTGAGTTCGACAGAAAAAGAAAGAGGGAGAGAGGATACTATAGGAGCACCACACGGAGTGAGAAGTGCGCGGCACGTTTCGCGGGGAGGGCTTCTCGTGCACGTTGAAGGCAGGGGTTCAGCAGCCACGCAGTCGCGCGCACGGTCCGGCAGCGGAGACCTTTGGCGAGGTCTTGGAAGCGTGGATCGCCGGCGCTGGCGACGCTTGCCCAGGCCGGCGCTTTGGCAGCACGCGCCCTGTCGCGGCGCTCGCCGAAAGTTGTCGTCACGTGCACGCGGTCGGCGGAGTCGCGTGATGCGACGGCGCGAAGACGCGGAGCCTCGCAGAGCCCGCGGTGCTGTGACGTTCGACGGAGAAGTGACCCAAAAGAGAATGGTGTGTAGGAAACGGAGAGGAAGCCTTTGTCACCCCCGAAGAAGGGTCCGAGTATTTTTCATCTTAAAGTAAAAAGATGTTATCACTTCAATACGTTGCTCGGTGTCCCTTTTCCAATGTTATTTGCTTCCCAACAAGATAGAAGTCTGTCAAAATGTTCATCTTCAAAGCCTTTGTGAAGGTGGTGGTGACACCTTTATTTCTCCCAGAAAGAGAAAAAAAAATGAAGGGGACTTGTACAGAGACTGGTTGCTCTATTACATTGGATGTCGGCGGGGATCCCTTGGGATACAAGATCTGGACAGCGTGGCACGTATGAAGGAGCATAAAAGCGAAAAAATAGCAAAGGGAAAAACAGTCAATCAGTTTCGATGTTAGTTGAGAGAAATCATACAAAATGGGGTATTAATATTGTTCTTTATGGGGGAAGCCATTTCCGGTTTGTTGATGAAATATTCTGTGAGAACCATTTTCTGTGTTGAGCTTGGATAAATTTTGAAAAAAAGTCTAACACTGCGAGAAACCATTTTATAGGGATCAGGCGGTCGTGGCTCATGCTGGATGTTTCTATTTTATAGCGTTACGAGATGGATCGACGTATTCTTCTAAATCAAGTAGTTGTGCACGTACCTTGTGCTTATTAGGTACGTTGGAGTGCACTGCCGTGACAAGGGTGGTCCCACATTTAGAGTAGAGCTGTTTGTTTCACCGCCACGAACAGCCAATTACGTCACGATGATGTGCGTGTCGTGCGTGGTGGTTGTAAGCGTATTCGCGATACGATTGACTTGGGTAGTCACGGGCACGTCATGATTCTTACTATAAGAATACCTGACTGACACGCAGAATGATTGGGTCTGACTCCGGCTGGAGCTGCTATTTTTTATTCGTAGCTTTGATCGGCGTATTTAACCCACTGACAATACAGCCTACCTCTGCACCTCAATTATCCTAGGAAAAAACGACGGTGCTCCACTACAAGGGCTAAAATATTAATTACCAGACTACGATGCTGAGTTCCCCCACTGAACGTTTACCTACACAAGGCTAGTCAGGTACAGTCACCTTTATGCCTCCACTGCAGAGAAAGTAGATCTATGCATCATCTCTCTTTAAATGCAAATTGTTCAAAAATCAAAGGAAGAGATTGTTTGACGAACTTCTCCGAAAGATGGGTTTAAATTTATTCTCGACCGTGGTTCTTTACTCTGGTGCTGCTGAAATAGGCATTAGTCACAGGAATGTTTCATTTGATTTCATTTCTTTACGTTAAAGACCCCACAGGGGTGTTACATAAAAGGTGGTTATATAAACAGAAATAACAAAATTTGTCCGCAATTAAATCTTTTCATTTCCTCAATGAAGACATGTGACGTGGTGATGGGAAGCGGTGTGGTGGGGAATGCCGTTCTTATCTTTTGCTGTACGACGAAAAAAATGATGATGATAAAGTGACAGTCTGCATGCATATAGACGAGCAACGTTAAAAGAATGACCTGTGCTCAGTGAAATGCGCATAGGAGGCATAGTTCAGGGTGTTTGACGAAGTGGACTGTTATAGAATTTATGATATAATGATAAACTCGCAATGCGACGGTGATGTTCTGGTTCATTCAAAGCAGAATCAGCTTTTTTAAGATGAAAAATGATTTGATTGATATGTGGGGTTCAACGTCCCAAAACCACTACATGATTATAAGAGACGCCGTAGTGGAGGGCTCCGGAAATTTTTGCCACCTGGGGTTTTTAACGTGCACCCAAATCTGAGCACACGGGCCTACAACATTTCCGCCTCCATCGGAAAGGCAGCCACCGCAGCCAGGATTCGATCCCACGACCTGCGGGTCAGCAGCCGAGTACCTTAGCCGCTAGACCACCGCGGCGGGGCGATGAAAAATGATGTCATACGAGAACGATGAATGAATATACTTTACGGCACAATTTTTTAACGCAATCTACATCGTTACTGAGGTAGATCTGATGAGGATGGGAATGCGTATGGCGATTCCTATGGGAGACAAAACAAATTGAGCGTCAGGTTTTCGTACTTTTCAACAATATTGGCTTGTAAAATTATTTTAGCGTTGATTGTATAAATTCCTTTTTTAAACAATCCGATTGGAAACGTATTCGGATTATCAAAGAATTGTATCTATAAATTAAGGTACCGCCCGTTTCATGGCCGATCCCCCGCATTGAGCTGTTAAAGGTCTCCAAGAAGCAACCGACCCACCAACCCTGCAGCGCATTTTCTGTGGCAAGCACGTCTTCACACTGTCGAGCTAATATTTCCCAAGTCTGTACCAAATACTGGCCGTCCGGTGCTTTCGCGACAGGGTGGTTCGGCTCCACCTGCCGGTCTCCATGTGTGAGTATAGCCGGATGGCGCGGGGCAACCTCCGCTTCCGCAGTGGACTCTTATATATCAAATCGCACTCTCTATCTTCACAAAATTAGAATCACTTGTGGCGCATACCCGCAATTCATGGGCTGTGGTAGGCGGGTGTTTGCCGCGCGTGACTGAGTGGAAAGCTTTCAAGACGTATCGGCAGTAAAGTCGCGCTGTTGATGTCATAAATTGCGAACTGTGTTCGTCATACATTCAGGCCCTCTTAATTCTATTTCGGTAAGTACCAAGCTAAGAGAATGACCGTGAAGACACCAAGTTGTAGGTAACTGTCTGTCTGTCTGTCTGTCTGTCTGTCTGTCTGTCTGTCTGTCTGTCTGTCTGTCTGTCTGCGCGTCTGTCTGTCTGTCTGTCTGTCTGTCTGTCTGTCTGTCTGTCTGTCTGTCTGTCTGTCTGTCTGTCTGTCTGTCTGTCTGAATGGGTGGTTGGATGGATGGACGGATTGATGAATGGACAGACGGACGGACGGACGGACGGACGGACGGATGGACAGATGGATGGATGGATGGATGAATGGATGGATGGATGGATGGATGGATGGATGGATGGATGGATGGATGGATGGATGGATGGATGGATGGATGGATGGATGGATGGATGGATGGAAGGAAGGAAGGAAGGAAGGAAGGAAGGAAGGAAGGAAGGAAGGAAGGAAGGAAGGAAGGAAGGAAGGAAGGAAGGAAGGAAACGGTCAAAGTGCCTTGGATTCGCTGTAAAAGGCTTCGCATTAAAAGAAAAAGACTTCCGACTTTGTTGCAGCGGTTAGGCTAGCTCGCACAGCAGAATGCCCGAGTTCCAGTGTTTACAAATGCATTTCTTGTTTGTTTCGCGCAGAACATTTTCGGGTGTCAGCATAGCCTCAGTTTACTCTTCGAGTAAACTCGGTGCAGCTGCTCCACGAACAGAACAGAACTGCTCCACGTCTACCAAGCTTGTATTCGTAAACTCGAGCATTGTCTTGCTTTCAGAAGTTTGATCAAACGTGATGTTGCTTCACAGGTCTCCTGAAAGGTTTAAACTCTTCTACATCCTTTTTTTTTGCAATTTTTAACTTATTTTTGGCTACACTTCGGCTCAAACGAGTTCCGGATAGGTTCGGAAGATTACAGCCGTCGGCCTTCGTCGGAGTTACCGCTACACCTTAGGAGAGGAATGGAGTCGCTTTAATTTTTTTGCAGCGAAAGCTGTTGTGAGATCACTTTTCGGGTCACGAGCAGTTGCATGTTGTCCGCCGCCACCGCCACCGCCGCCGCCGGTGTCTTACGGACATCCGCGAAATTAGAAAAAAATTTCCTTGCACCAATGCCACAGTGGGGCTTAAACCCGGGTCCGCTGGGTGGAAGCCCAATATTCTACCACTGAGCTACACCGGTGCTTGTGACTCGTTGTAAAACTTGCCTTAGGCAGGCTTGATGTCGGGAAAGCAATCGCATTAATACGACTTGTAAAGCGTTTTAAAACAGCGAAAGAACAACCAGTCGTCGCACAATGCGATTAGCATAACCAGTGGGCCGTCCAATGCTCTAACTCATTACAACAGCTTGTTCTTGGTTCCCTATTAACTGTGGCGCATAGCCACAACAGCCATAATTCCTTATCGTCAGTCACTGCATGGACAATTGGCACAAAATTTCTTGCAAGTGTTTAGCGGATACCACGCTTCTCAGAAGAATGACGGAAAATAGCATAGCGAATGCCTGCCTAACACCCAAACGTTTATTAATTAATGCCCTAGTGGGTACCAAGCAAGTGTGCTTGCAGCAGTCACCCAATCAGTGTTTTGAAAAGGCTCTGAAAGGCCGTTCTTCTAGCTTTCGCTGTGACTGTACTGCGCCTACCGCGGAGCCCTGGTGTGTTTTTTTGTTTGTTTGTTTGTTTGTTTGTTTGTTTGTTTGTTTGTTTGTTTGTTTGAGAATCCATTTCTTGTTACGCTCGTCTGTTGACTCAAGGGTTGCAAGTTCGATCCCGGCCGCGTCGGTCGCATTTCTATATCGACTATATTTCTACATCTATATCGACTACATCTACGTCTATATCGACTACATTTCCATATCGGTAGAGGCCATTCTATTGTGCGTTGTCAGTGCACGTCAAAGAACATCTGATGCTCGAAACTTCCGGAGCCCTCCACTACGGCATTCCTCCCATTCATATCGTGGTTTTCGGACGCGAAACTCCTGGAATCGTCATAGCTTGTTATTACAACTTATGCAGAGGCACAGCGGAGAAGCAGGGCGGTCTCCATCTCGCGGTACCCCGTCCTACGCAGCCTCGTCGTCTTCCACCGTTGAAAATGTCCTGCCGCTTTCCCGCTTATCACCTACCGCGCGGAGAGAGTAAACAACGGGCTAATCTTGTTTCCAGCGGCCCTTACTTGCATGCATGCTGGGACGAGGACGCACACGTATT